TCTCTCTCCCCTCCCCCGAATGTAAGCCCCCCCATCCCTCCCCCAGTCAGTGTCCCCCCTCCCCTCTCCTCTCCCACCCAGGTAGAAGCCCCCTCCTCCTCCTTTCCCCCAAGGCAGCCCTCCCTCCCGGGGCAGGTGCGCCCTTCCCTTGCCCTCGCCCCCCTCGTTGGAAGGAGACGGGGGAGGGCATGGCTTCACCCTCTGCCCTCTCTCCTCCCCCTGCCCCCCACTGCAGGAGGGGGTGTGGATCCGGGGCCTCTTCCTGGAGGGGGCCGGGTGGGACAAGAAGAACTCGTGCCTGGTGGAGGCGGAGCCCATGCAGCTGGTCTGCCCCATACCCACCATCCACTTCAAGCCCGTGGAGAACAAGAAGAAGAGCGGCAAAGGTGGGCAGGGGTCTTCGGCTGGGAGCGGGCTGGGGGGGGGGGGGGCCCCCCCCCCCCGCGTCCCCCCCCGGGTCCCCCCCCCCCCCCCCCCCCCCCCCCCTCCCTCCCCAGGCATCTACTCCTGCCCTTGCTACTACTACCCCAACCGGGCGGGCACCTCCGGCCGCCCCTCCTTCGTCATCGGCGTGGACCTGCGCTCCGGAGCCATGACCCCCGACCACTGGATCAAGAGGGGCACCGCCTTGCTGATGAGCCTGGACACCTGAAGCCGAGGAGGGGGCACCGACTCCCTCCTCTTCCCCCCACCCCCACCCCCCGCCACAGCTTCTGACCCCACCCCCCAATTTCTAGGAAATTAAATAAAGCTATTTGGAGACTAAGTGTGGTGCCCTCCCCACACCCACCCACCCCGTCTGCCTCAATTCCCCCCCCCTCCCCACCAGCAAAGCTTGGGCCCCCTCCGTTCCAACCTCCCCCCCTCACAAGCTCCTAGATGGTGGGGGGGGGGTTGTTGAGCAGCTCCCCAAACTCACAACTTTGGGGTGAACCCCCCCCCACAATCTCAACAAGGGGGCCAAGGAAGTGGGAGGGAGGAGTTGGAGGCCAGAGAGGGAGGGAGGATGCCAGCTGGGCGCGGGGAGAAAGGGACACCCTTTCTTTGCCAAGTGGGGGTGGTCTACGTGCCTCGGGGTGGCCCTTCCCCATCGCAGGCAGCGGCCAGGGGGCGGGGTGAGTGGGGAGGGGGCGGGGCGGCTCCTGCCCACTGGCAGCCCGAGCGAAACCAGCGGGGAGGACGGCGGGGCGGGCGGGGGGGGGGGGGGGGGGGGCCTGCGCGGCCCCCCCGCCCGGCCACTCACCCTCCCCACGGGCGGGAGGATGCCGGTGCATGGCAGCGTCGGGGGT